AAACAAACAGGAACAAAAACAACCAAATTTTCTACCCGAAAAGTAGAGTGAAAGTATAGCCCAGTAAGAAACGTACTTGTTTTAGTAGAGGTCGGAGTGAAAGTTATGTACGATGCGAGGACCTCGCCTGCACATACACACGATGATATGATGAGACCGATTTCTCCCCAGGGACTGCTGAAAGAGATCCCATCTACTTTGGTCCCATTACAAACTCTCCAGCCCAAATTTTTCTTTGCTTTTCGTCCCTCCTTACTCATGCAGGACGATAGTTTCTCTTTCAGAAAAGGGTGGTTGGTGCACTACGGAACGGGAAGACCTTCGCCTTTCTTGGCTGGCTGGAGGTCAAGGATTTCATTTGATGTGATGCAGTCAACCTGTCTCACATCAGTTACAAATTTCGTAATTCCTGAATTCCTTGTGCGTAAGAGAGATGGTCGGAGGTGGAGACGATCCCACAATTTTGGCTGGACTTTGACCCTCCGGTGGTGGTCAGTAATCATGAAAAGAGGTGAAAGTATCTACGATCTGTCGCGTTTAATGCTGATGTTGCCGATTATCTAACAAGATCCAGGCACATTGTCACATTACATTTTCCAAGAACGGGTTCGATTTCACTTTCTCCAGACGATAAAGAAGAAGCCAGTCTGGGGCAGAGGTGAGGGAACAGCGAGATTTTATGTAACGAGAAGAGGTGAGAGGGACATATGTAAGTAAGTTACGTATGCTATTAAATACAAGGAAATGGACTTCAACGAGTACTGCAGTGCAAGTTATCGTATTTGGCAGTCTTACTTGTAGTACTTTTGGATAGTAATAAAGCCAACTTTGTTTTTACGAGATTTGCACGTGGGTGTGTTTTAAAAACCTTGTCTCATTTTCGAAAATTGGGCAATAGTTATATACTAAAATTTAAATAATGAATTCTATTTGAACAAAAATATTAATTTTCTTCATCAGACACCCGCTAAAGTGAAAAGTGTGATTCCTTTTATTCGTGCAGATGTAAAACAACCTCACACCATCACGAATACCGCCCACCTTTTAAATTTTAGCGAACGGAAAAAAAATTCCACAATATTTCTCCTTTCATCCTCTGAAGTACAATGCTCGGAGGTACCTGCATATTACACCTCGGTGAATAATTTAGCATAACGAAATGGTTTTTGCAAATCGGGGAACAAGGCTGAATCTTAATGGCAAGGTGAAGAGAAAGCGACACTGTAGGGACACTTCTCTTCTCAAGTGCACACCCACCCACCCATCCACCTTTTCAGACTTCCGCATTTCTTCTCCCCTAATGAAATTGTTCCACATTTCCTTTTGTACTTTTGAACAAAGAGTAATTTTTGAGCCATGTTTTTCAGAATTATGAGCACCAGCATATTTATTACGGAGAGAAATGCGTGCACTCACTCACACAATTTGTCCTTCGTACATTTTTGATTATTACAGAAATTCGTACAATGTCCTCAACTTGAAGGCCGTAATGTAGTCCGGATTAAGGAGAACAAATCCCATTTTCTTTAACAAAAAGTGAGTAGTCAGAGTAGTGTGAAGAATTTTTGGAAGAGGAAAACAGTGCCCATTTCATCTCCCGAGTTGACTACTGCACTCCTTTCTTCCTCTTATCATTACTATGTCAGAGGAGCACTTGTACTTTTATTTTTATTGGTGGGCGCCCCAAGAAGTGAGGTGAGAGAAGTAATCTGCAAACTACATAAGCGTCTTTGTGTGTGAGAGTGAATATCAAAGTTGGAACATTAGTGGAAGACGTGGGAATGAATATGGATCATAATCACGGGTGACTGGTTTTCCGAGGAAATTTAGGTTTCTTGGTTGGAGGATCACCATCTCTCACATATTCACGTCTCATTCCACATTCCTCTCATCCGGGTTGCTTTCTCCGTCTCCAACCAACATAACACCTCGCCTCGTACGTATGTATGTATGTGTCCTCCTGCTGGTTTTGTTCACTTCTCCATTTGCAAAATGTCGTCAGACTTTTATTCATTGTTTTCTGACAAACGGAAAGGGAAGAAAATTTATTTGTACTCCAATTCCAACCAGAATGGATGTGGAATCATCTGTTTCTTCAGCTCTGATGGGATTACATGTACCACACAGTACATTTGTCGTCTCACGTATTTTCTCTTTTTTTGCACGGTTTTTGGCACATCTAAATCATGTCAGATGCGAACAAGGAATTTTACTTTCAGATAACACACAACACATTAGGTACGAATGTATTTATGTGCTATTATATAGATCGTCCTCCCTGAGAACCATGAACTTGTGAATTTACAAAACTTGGCGAACCAACAAATGTGGGAATAAATATCTGTATTTGGAATTCTATTTGCTTGAAATAATAAACATTAACCTCGGTATTCAAAGTCCATAAGAATAAAAGTAATGACACTGATAGTTCTTTTATATGGAAAAGGTGTCCCACTACTTTAGCTTGGGTTCGCCTGTATCGTAGAGCGATTTTCATCCTTTTACAAAATATAAACTCGGCGATTGCTTAATGTGGTGTAAATATTGGTCCTTTTGAGAAGAAAGCCTATCTATTTACGAGAGGAAACCGTTACTGCCACAAAATAAGGGATGACGACATTCACCGAGAAAACGATTTCCAATCTTGTCTGTCCCACCACCAGGACCAGGAGGAGAATAACATTTACATCAGGACGGGAAATCTAATCCAAGTCAAGCCACATCCTCGAGGCTGGGATACTTCAGATTCAAAGAAAATGCAGAGTCCTAAATCCCACGAAGCTCTGAATTTATATGAAATGCATCGAAAACGCATCGTGCCAAAAAGCGGAGAGCGAACGAAAGCAGCTTCGATAACTGTAAACCCCACAACCAGTCCAATCCAGTCTGCAGACTTTGAAATATTCGTCGTGATCATGGCATCGTCAAAGTGAAAGTGAAAGGAGGATCACCTCCAATTCGGCCACATTTTCTCATCGTGCAAGATCAACCCTAAATATATTTAGGTATACGGAGAAAGCCTTCCAGTTCTTTGTGAAAAAAAACCATGAATGTTGTTACCACTGTTATTTCTTCTGGTACTGCTATTTCATACATGGCATGTCGGACCCAACCGGACACGACGTACTCACACTTGCCAAATACTTTCCTCCATTCTGTCTCGATACCCATGCCACGAGAAGCAACTGCACCAGCTACCAAAAAAACTGATGATTCATTCTCGAGCCGACCAAGTCCAACAAACCACTTTTGACTTCTTCCACTCTCTTTTTCCATCTTATTTAGGAGAGCAGGTCCATTTGCTTGATGTTGCAAAAGCCAATCTACGTCGACTTGTTGTTGTTGTATATAAATTCTGCTGGAAGAAATCTCTCATCTCGAAACAAGCAGTAGCAGGGTTTTCACTCCTCCTCTTTTCCTTCCAGTTTCCACCCCAGTTTCACTCGTGCATCTAGTGTGCAAATCTGATGACTTTGTTGGTAATCCTGTGAGAACGGACGGACTTTCATGTTTGTTCATCCGGACAATGGCGTGGCACGATACGATGTGACTCTCTTCCTGAAAGAAATCTAATCTGATACGAACCTGAAGACACATAGACGGACATGCAGCAGAGCAACACTAGTCACGAAAATTCGGGTGGTTGCTTTGTTTTTTCTTGGGCTACATGACACCATCACTTGATTCGGACAGTGGGTCACCAGCAGGCAAAAAGACGGGTTTTATACCCGTCGAATAAAAAAATATTCTTGTTCTGTTTTAGCAAAAATTCGCGCAAAGTCTTTGTCATTTCAAAGGAAAAAGCGTATTGTCCCCTGCCTACTTTTGTTATATCTTCATTTTCCTCCAGAGTGAAATCGCCCTGATTTTGGGAACTTATCTAAAAAAAACAACGTATATTTCTTTGTGTTGACAATGGACTAGTACATCCACCAGTGATGAAGAGAAACACTATGCTCATTGTCTCGAGAGTCTCAGCCCAAGTATTTACTGGAGTAGGAACTCGTGACAGAATAATTGAAGAAGGTCTGTCTTGTCCCAAATTAAACATGGCTTCATTTCACGGCAAGCTGTTCCTTGAACGAAGAATGAACAAAAAATTATCCCAACTTCATAGATAGATATGATTTACTGCGTAGTACATACTTATATTTCGCACTTTGCTGGGGACGAAATCATTAAATTCGTTTATTCATTCGTAACAAATACTTCAAAGGGCGTAGTGGACGCCCTTAATTATTATTATTTCTTACGTTAATTATATTATCCTTTTATTACGTAAAGAGATACACTTGAAAGTTTTGTACGAATAGTGTTTCTTTTGCTGTGAAAACTTGATAAAAAGTTTTACGCAATAATACTTGTTAGTTGTTTTTTCTAGTTTTCACTTTATCGAGCTGAATAGGTGACATGGCACTTGAGAGAAGTGAGAAATCTCCTTTTTTGTGAGGATCGCGTAACTAGATTCTCTAAAATTTCAGTAATTTTGAGATTATATATTAGCGTAAAGATTACCCAACAAAATTAGGGAGTCAAAAATTTAGGTAAATTTATTTTTGTAAAATTTAGGTCCATTGAAGTTTGTCAAAAACATTTTGACTTTTTCCCAAAAAATGAGCTTTTACGTCAACTAATCGTAAGTATGTACGTACTCAGGAGGACACACATTTCATACGATTCCGAGTGAAAGTGCCCACTCGTAAAATTGTCCAATGAGTTCACTTTTAATTGTCTATCTCATCCTGTGAACAAGTAATGTGAGAACTTTTAATTAGATTGCTGCGTAGCGGACATTTGTATGTTGAGTGAAGTGTAAAAAACTTTTGATGCTGCAACATATTTGGCGAAGGATTTAAAGAATCAAATTACAAAGTGAAACCAAATGTATTCCAGACTACGTATGCATGCATGTAATGTTATGAGTTCAACTTGTTCAACAAAGCACACACAATTTTTACATTTGTTGAACAAGAGAAAGTGAAATTAAATGAGGTCAAATATAGAATTCAAAAAACTTTTCGTCATTTCAAATTTTTAATATTTTCACAAGCTCGGAATAAATCAACAAGCCGATAATGAAATGATGAGTGGAATTACTTTCCATAGTATCCACCACCACCACCGCCCCCACCCCCGTAAGATCCATAATAGGCTCCTCCACCGTAGCATGAACCTCCCGCCATGGAGTATCCACCCCCACCACCCCCACCGTAGGAGTAGCTGTTGTACCCGGTCTGGTAGCACGTGCTCGAGTACCCAGTGTTGTAGTTGTAGTACGTGGTCTGGGGATAACCTCCGTACGAGTATCCAGAGCAGTAGGAGTACCCACATCCACCTACATAAATATTCGATAAGTAACTGGAAGCTCAACAAATGCATTGATTGATTAGCACTACTGACCTCCATAATATCCGTAAGTCCTGGCAGTCGCAACGGGCCTGACGTCAGTCTCCACGGGCATTGCAGAAGCTCCGAATGGGGTGGACCCACCCGGATTGTAGTAGACGAGGGGGTTGGTCGAAGCCTGGAAAAGCCTCAAGTCGCAGTTGCTGCAGTAATATTGGGCCGGGGTCTGGTTCGGGTATTGGACGATGGTGTGTGTATTTCCATTGAACTGAAGATACTTGGCCTCCGAATAGTTGTTGACGTACTTGACACCAGTACCTGCATGGGAGGGATAAGTAGGTTAATAAAAATGAAACCTTAAGAAGACTTTCTCGGTTTTTTATATGTACCTGGAGGGAAAGCAACTTGAGTTCCTTGTCCGAAGGTGATGTTGGTCCCGGCAACGACAGAGACGGGGCCTTCCTTCACGTAGAATTGTGAGTCTTCAAGAAAGTTGACGAGGGTGTTGTATGGATAGTAAACCGTAGTACCGGCCACATACTTGACGAAGGTACCGGCGTTGTAGATGAGTCCGGTTTGTGGGGGATAGGCTGCAGTCACTCCGGCGTTGTAGGTGAAAGCAGAAGCTCGAGTTTGTGGCTTGACAGGTTTCAGAGGCTTAATTCCCTGTTAAAATAATTTTTATAATATGTCAGAAATAGGAACAATATAATATTTTTGGAGGAAAATTTGTGGATTTTTTTTACCTCTGAAGAGACTGCGGCAAAGGCCAAGGATACCAAAAGGATCACCTTCATGATTATGAAGTTCTATCAATTTGGGTGAAGATGAATCGTTGATGATAGATTTGTGGTGAAAATTTTCGTATTTATACGCGTGCCCCACAATATACTTACTTAACATGGAGCGTGGGGTGCACATATGTTTTACCTAATTTTATTCAACCTTGGTGTTATTTCTTATAATGAAAGAATAGTCATGCAAAACTTTTGATTTACAATTGTAAATAGGTGCAAATCCCGATATTTATACTATATCAAAGTCCCGAAAAATATAGGCCATGCAATTGTTGGAGAATAGATAGAGTTGGGTCAGTACTTTGGAAGATAACTATAACGCGCAATAATTTTGATTCAGATTTAAATTTTGCAATTCGCAACAAAGGAGAATGTGGTTGACACATGCTAGTTACCCAATTTATTTATATAAAATATTGCAAATTATTATGATATGATTGATATTGTAATTAATTTCTGTTTCGAATTTCAAGTTCAATTATATTTACAAGGTCTCGGCTATTGTTATATTCATCGCAGATGTGGAAAGAAAAGAGATCGAGCTGCATAGTAATTTACGAGCATTTTTCACTACCAAGCGGCCTTCTCTCTTGCTTTTTTACAATTTCATAACGATTTTTGTTATATCCTTTTTTATTATGAAGAATGCATCATGTGCAACTCATCGTAAAAACCTATAGGACATCGTATAATAATATGTACAGGAATATCACTTCGACACCGACTTCCGGAGGGAGCACAACCATGTCAAGTAAGATTGTCGTAAAAAGCGGAATAGATAATGTCATTTTTGCATCGTGATTATGAGAAGACTAATTTTCTGAAATACTGAGCCATCACAAACACTAGGCCACTTAATATGTTCACCAGTGGCCAAACTTGCACGGTCCGGCCCTAGGCATTTTCCAAAAATCAGGCCTTACTATATATTTTAATTCTGTGTTTTGAGCTAAATGACACTAGCTTAGCCTTAATTTTATTTTATTCAAGCATTCAAAAAGTACTCCAATTGTTTATTAATCGAAACAATTAACTACAGATTTGAAGTTAATTGTTTCGATTAACTTGACAAAAATCAAAATCTTGAGTCTCCTTGCAATTTTATTAAATAGATTACGAAGGGCCCGGCTGTGAGCAAACCTCTTGTAAGGCCTCTGACGCATTGCCCTCACACTTTGCATATCTTACGGGCCACCCAAACTATACATAACCAACTCCTCGACTCTGCAAGAGTCATATTCACCTCGTTTCATGGAATGAACCATTTTTACACCAAGAGACGAAGAACTTTGCGTATAATGTACACATCGTTTAATCTTGAGCTGCGTAACTGTGAACCCAGTCTTCTTCTGGCCTTAGCTACATATATCCTTGCATAATCCACACCCTGGCCAATTTACATCCAGCTTTTCCTCGAGAAAGTGAGAGAATTTTCATAAACTCACACATATCCTTCATATAAGTTGTGGTGGTATGTATCGCACGTAGTAAATTCATACGTATCATTTGCTCCTACTATATGGCTCGTTTGATGGCATGATAATAATGTTCTCCACACTGGAGGCAATTTCCTTTTAAACACCACTTCATTTATGTATGTACATATAGAGAAGTTGCACCACGAGTAACCCGGATTTTGGCTGAACCGGGTTTGTATAGATCTCTCTGCGTGTGTGTACGTATTTCTTTTCGCAAGCAAAGACATAATTTTGTAAATGCACTGAATGGAGAAAGTGTTTTTGCCCCACTTATGAAAAGCGAGGACCAAGAAGAACCCAACCCGAGACTACTTTCCCCAACGCATCATCATCTTCATGGGAAAAGCCAACGTGAGGTTCCTCACACATGAATAATGAATTCATTGGACCGAGTTGTCTGGAGCTGTTAGGAGGTCCTAACATCTAAATACGTCGCATCATGTGTGCAAATTACTGCAAATTGTGGGAAAAGAAAGTTAATTTTCACCACTTTCACTCACCACAAGTTTTATGGTAAAAAACAAGCATGCAAAAATTGCTGATGAGCTCATGCGAAAATAAGTTACATAATCTCGTTATAAAATACTGTTCAATTAGGACCGATTCGTTAGCTAAAAAACAGCAGAAAAGCGTTTAAGAAATTTCATCATACTTTTGTAAAAGAAATCTGAATCGTGTTCTTATGCATTCTTATGTGCTTTATAAAGTTACATACACAAGTAAGAAATAAGACGGTTACATAAATCGTACAAAGGGATAATAAGCAACAGTAGTGATAGTAACTTTTCCCCCAAATCTTATCGGCTTATATGTACATCCATACATGTTCCGAATCCGATATAGCCCATCATAGGCAGGATGTCTCGCAAGCAAAAGGAGAAATAAACAGACGGCACATTTCCCTTAAGTCCTTCTCTCTTGGCATATTTACAAACGACTCGTTCTCTTCTCATTCAGTCAGGAGGCAAGTGATGGCTAAAGATGTTGCGACCGACGAGCAAGTTGTGGTGCGATGCCAGACTGTGAATCTGGGATTAGGTTCCATAAAAGTAAAAAATGAAGCATATCGAGCTGAGCTAATGTGTTGTTTACTTTGACTAAAATACCCTTCAACAACAACAAAAATTGAGAAGTTTCTCATCCATCTCAACTCAGAAGTAAATAGGGCTCACAACCACACACACACACAATTTTGGGGGCAGTCAAGCAGTAAAACTCTCGTCTGGGAGACTTACAGTAATCGAAAGTCCGATTCAAACGAGGGATAATTCTCTTCCAAAGAATGCCAGTTTTGGTCATTGGTTGTGATTTTATTGCGCCCAAATGGACAGTTATGGCTCGAACTAAACTAATTTTGCACAAAAGTTTATCCCAGAAGGATGAATATTATTTGGATTAGGAGGAGTGTAAGTGGATGATCGTGCATAAAATGCATAGTTAATGGGTGCTCTTTACATGGATTAATATGCCAGTTTCAAGGGCAGAGGATGAGATATGCATTATTGAATGATTCATTGTTTGACACCTTATAATTTTTTTAGATAAATAAAATTTCAAAAAGGTAATACACCTCGGATGATAGAGAAATTGTTGACTTTAGTAAAATCAACACGCATTTGCTAATGCCGGATATGCTCACTGCATGTCCAAATTAGAGTGGAAATTCAATTTGAGGAAAAAACAAATTTCTTCTTCTTCTAAAGCGATTACAGTCAAATATAGAAAGACATTTCTCTCCTGCACTGCCGACAAAACTGTGTAAATTACGTTTTAAACGAGCATAGTCGCATATACATAAGTGGCCAAAATCGTTGCCCATTATCAGCTCTTACATTCTCATTAAACTCGTTCATGTTTGGTAATGAAATGCTAATGGAAAAAACGGAAGGAATTTTCCCTCTTAAAGAATTTATGAAAGGAGGTAATTTATCCGTCTTTTAACCCAACGAGCTTCCTCCTCTCGACTATTTCGTAGACATACCTATGTGCACGAGAAGACCTTCTAAACCGTTATATGCATCCTTCCCTTTCGTACATAATTGTCATCTCAAGTGCGCGTCTACTTACTTCATGAGTGGATTGTGCAACTTGTCTCGCAGTGCTCGGGACACTTGAAAATAAGCAATTTTATCCGCTTTCATGTTCTTAATGAGTAATTTACATGCCGTGGTATGAGCAAGGTTGAAGAAATGGGGAATTTTCTCCAGCGGACTTGTTACACTTCAGAATTCTCACACATGTTTCGTTCCTCTAGCCCAAAAGTGAATTCGTCGTCTCATTTATAATTTAAGCTGGAGAGGAAGCGAATAAGGTACTTCTTAAGCAAAAGTAAAATGCATGCTCATGATGATGGTGGGAATTTCTGGCGTGAAATTAAAAGCAGCGTCTCGTGGTTTTTATGGTTGGTGGGAAAGAAGGTACCATTCCAGGTTGTATTTAATATGTACAAAATGCGACACGTATAACTTTACGACAACATATGTTCTCATTCATAAAGTGGGAGAATCACATTTATTTATAAGCATTTAATCCGCCGGCGTCTTTCATGTCGGTCCGTGGTATCATCCGTAATGAGGCATGGTCACACATAAATTATTAAATTTTTCCTAATTTATCCCTATGCACACTCGAGAGAAGAAGCAGACTTCATTGACACAAAAAGACGCTTTATTCCTGCTCTGCTCCCATGATTCAGACGCATATTTCGAAATGGTACAAATATTAAATGTGGTTTGGTTTGGTGACGAATATGCACCGCGTGTTCATCACGGCATCGTTTTGTTTGGGGTATGAATACTTTAAAATGTCATTAATTAAGAGATTTAAAGTTTTGACAAGAGAAAAGGAAAAGAGATGAGTGGGTTGAAATTGAGCCGGGCGAGAGATAACTAGGGCTGAGTGACAGAAGTATAAAATATGTCAGCATCATGCTCTCTCCTTCCTCTGTTCCCCCTTCTTTTAAGGACAATATGGTGTTTATGATAATATAAACGATCTGTAGAAAGACAACTTAAGATCACAGTCAAAATAGTTGAGAACTTACTGCAAGGGCATTCTTGCTCGAGTAAATGAGAAATTTGAGACGACTGACTAAAGAAATATTGTGTTTTCAGCTACACCATTTGATTACATTACGTGGAGCATTGTGTGTAGTCAGTCACATATTATTTAGTAGCTACGTAACTATTATTGTTGCCACAAAGTTTTCCAATAGTGTCAGACAGAGTGACGAGATTTGAGATTTTGTCTGCATCTGCTTTCTAAATAAAGTTGGGAGTCGTGGTGGTGAAATAAGACTTTGTCACTCGAAATATGAATCCCACCAGTGGGAGGCAGGGTAAAAAGATAGATGACAGATTGCTACAGTACTATGTATAAATGAAGGACCGATACGAACGAGGAGTAGTAAATAGTCTTCAAGTTGTTGGGGAAAAACGCTTGAAATTAATTATTCAACTCTGATTAGATGGAAATGTAAATTTCTCCCGAAAACTATTTTAATTTCCAAGTTTAGAAGGGAGGATTAATTGTTGGTTTGGTTTGCTGGACGGGTTTTTAGGCTCTCATAACTTTGCAAGACTTTACTTCTTTGTTATTGCTGCATGGTGCCCACCTACATAAATACA